AAAAGTAGATTAAGAACTGTATATATGAAGATTTAAAAAGTTAATTGCCTATCTTTAAAGTAAATTAATCTAATGAAAGATTGTTAATAATTATATATTGACACTACTCTATTACTATATAGGTGGTCTCTTATCTAAAAAAAAAGAAAAATTTTGAAGTTTTAGTTTTTATTATATATTATATACTTTAAAATCATAGTTTAGTATTAGAAATTAAGCCTTTTCTAAACACTAGTTATCAAAAAGCATAGCTTAATTTTTGCAAAAAATACAAAACTTGATCTATTAAAGACTGGTTAAAAATAATCTGGTCTGATAAACCAAGATTTCAAATTTTTAGATTAGATAGTAAATAATATTACAGTCATTCTCCTCTATAATCATGCTATTTGTTTTATATAAAAAAGGTGTGACTATAAAATTTTAATAATAATGTAATTATATAGAGTTTTTTTTAATAAATATATTGCTATTAATTTTTTAAAAAATGGTGTTTATAAAGAGGGTATGATTATATAGGAGGTGACTGTAGAGGAGGATGACTGTACTAGAAATATCCCAAGAAACTATTAAACTATTTTTATATACAACTGAAAGTAAAGCATGAGAATGGCTCTATTATAATTTGGGGTTGCTTTTCATCTCATAGTATTAGGAGGTTCTGTAAAATCAATAGCATAATAAATGGTAAGTTGTACTAGCTGATACCTCATGATAACTTTTTAAAAACCATGAGAAATTTCAAATTTAGTGTATAAGACATAAATTTTCAGCAAGATAGTACCTTTTGCTATACTAAAACCTTAACCAAATATTGGTTTAAAAAGAATAGAGTAAAAACCTTCAATTAGCCTCTCTCATCTCCTGATTTAAACCTGATTGAACACCTGTGGGCTGAAGTTAACCATTGCCTTAGAAAGCTCTCTGGCAATATTTTAGGTGAAAAAGACCTCTGGCAAAAAATTCAGGTGGTATGGAAGCAAATCATCATTGAGACCTGTACAAACCTGATTTGTTCAATGCCAAAACGAGTTCATAATGTAATTAGGGCTTTGAATAAAGCTCGTGCTCATGAAAAATTTACTTTATTCATTTATCCTAAGTTTTTTTTTATGTGAATGCTATACATACTATTTACGAATAAAAAAAAAAAAAAGTAAAAGGATACATTCGGAACTGTGTGAAATAATGCGGTTTGAGCAAAAATTTTTTTTTTGTTGCATTTTTATGATCACCGGTGTAATAATGCACCATCCTATATATGTAAAACATGAGTGACTTCGGTTAGGGTAATCCGAGTTTAATTATTATTATTATCATTCGGATTATTCTGTTTGCAGAACCCTATAAATACGTAATCGTGTAACGTCGTCTTAGATGAGAAAGTTCGAATTTATGCCGTAGAGTTTCTGGGTATTGTTTTACTTTCATAAAGAAATTAGGCAAAATGTGCAAAGTAGATTAACATTTAAAAATTCTCATATAAATGTCATCATTGATCTTTTTTGGTAAATTAACTCGGAAGTTCTTTTTATTATTTTTTGATTTGTGTATTTTATTATCAGTTATTGAATTTACCAACGATTATTTAAACTTAACAGTAAGAATTGTATTCCAAATTAAGCAGACAAAAAAAATAATTCTAGTGATTTAATAACTATAATATATGAAAGAGATGATGAATTTACTGGCAAAGCCGTGGTAACTTCGGGTGAATTTGATATTTATAATGGTGACTCATTTTTTTAAGATCTATGTTTCAATTATAATGTATTATAAGATCATTTTTAAATACAAAATACCAAGATAATATATTCTATTTCTTATAATAAATTAATAATATGTTCTAGTTGTTTTGTTTGAAATATAATATTTATCGTGTGCTATTCTTGTCAATCAAGCATTATCATACCAGGTACGTACGTACGTGCGTTTGTATGCATACGTGCTGTACTTACGCACGTACAGTACCTGTTAAGCATGTACTGTACGCATGTAACAAATATATAATTAATTAAAGGTTGCACTAGTGTACACATGCACATTTAACGTACGTACGTACTATACATGTGGTTCATCACAAAGTATAAGGTTTAGCTTCAACAATAAAGAAGTCTTCATAGCCAAAATTACATACTACTATACTATAATGTTGTATATTATTTGGTGTTCTTTTTATAAACAAAATATTTATCAAAAAAAAAGTGTCTATATCTTAAATAACAAAGCCTTTAAGTTTTAAAAAACAGAAATGCTGCATATGCATAACGTTAAATAATTACTGTATTAAGATACGACTTTGATATTTTGCATCTACAGATCTTAATGCAGCATTTCAAAACGATTATAAAGTATTTTCTAATGCAAGGTCACAACTTGTTAACTTTTTTGACTTATAGTATCGCGTTTCAATTTCCAGTACATTAAATCTAAGTTTCAATCGTTTTTATAAAAAAAATTGCTTCAGATACCATATTTCTATAATAAAACCTCAAATGCAAGTAGTTTACTTGTGCTATAATAGTTATTTTTAACATAAATAAAATAGATTAATGTTGGTTTTAATCAGAGTTACACATCGCTCCTTACATTCATAGTTGGACCCATACTACTGCCTATCAAAGAATCACAATTTATTTGCTCTCTAATCTGGTGACAAATTTTACAAAATTCTCATAAGTCTTTTCCCACTCTCATATAATGTTTTGATTGTTGACTATCTTATAAATGTATTTAACGAGGTCTTCAACACTTTCAAAATCACACCTTTTATATAATTGAATGTGAGAAAACGTAATAGTCTATATCAGATGCGACCATACATAGCAGATAAGAATAGAACATAGAAGAGAGTCGTAAACTTTTTCTATGACTTTTACAAGATGAAATTTATAGAGAGCGAATGTGTTCATTTTTTTACAATATCTATGTTAGTTGAATAATATGCTTTCCTAATACCGTATTTCTCACGAACAGATCTGACAATGCTTGATTATGGACACATCTTTCAAATGCATAATCGTTAACGATTATTCATAGGATCACAATTACTGAAAATTCAAAATAGTCTTTTTTCATTAAATGATATGAGTTTTATAAAATTTAGGATATAATCTTTATGTATCCCATACGCCGGTTGGAAGGTGCTAAAGAGATCATTAGAGAGCTCGTGGTATTGACGCAAGACATTACTAAGCATCGATAGACAATTAATTTCGTGCCCTAATTGTATAAGGATTCTTTAGTAGCATGGTAATTAAAATGAATTAAAAAACGAAATATTATTTCTTTGCATATACTGTATATAAATTTTGCTTAATTTCACACAAGATATGGCGTTATACAGTATGCGATATACATCTCTACAGGTGGTATAAAAAATGATTAGTGCACACTTGCAAGCACTCAAGTGTATGATGTTTGTATATTTGAATAATCTCAGGTATCAATTGTAAGCACAGAGAACGTAAACGACCCAGTTACTATTTGTCAAATGTTAATGTATTATGTTGCAAATATGCAACATAAAATAAACATTTTTGGTACTGTATGTACTACGACTAAATTAAGTTTGGTGGTGTTGCCATAAAATGTTCGATTAATTGGGAAAAGCTATAATGTTGGTCTTTGTAAAATTCTAAAATATTAAACCGTTAAGTTAAAAATTATTCTATTAATTATGATAAGTAAAATAATATGTTATATGACAATAAAAATTTTAGAAAAATTTTTATATGATACCACTTTATAGTTTTGACTTGCGTAGTATATTGCACACTCCAGTATGGGATACATTGAAAAGAGCGATGAAATAATGATCAATAATTTGTCATTATTAAATTTAGAACTAATAAATAATATTATTTACTTATCTAATTAAATATTGATATTTATTGAATCAAAAATTTTATTCATATTTAAGAACCTTTTTACAAAATGCTGGCATGGGCGACAAAAAAAACAATGAAATTATTCAGCAGCTTACGATGATTGTACTATTGTCGTATCTAAAGTTACTATCTATCTGAAGTTGCAACTTTAGATATATGAAGTTGCACCTAACCAGAATTATATGTATGAAGATCTAATTTCAGGGGCTTAATCTTAGTCAGATCAACTTTATATATCTAAAGTTGCAGCTTCAGATAGATGGTAACTTTAGATACAACACTATCACCTTAAGCTGCCAGATAAGATCAAATTTGGCACTAACTATAAAACAAGTTCTCATAGTAGAACAACCAGTTATAATATACCGGTCTCGAAGACCTGATTTTATTGAGATTTTCAAATTTAATAAATATTTTGTTCATTAAAAAACCTGTTTGAATTTACCTTTAATGTCGAAAACAATTTTTGACATACGTTGGTTTCAACAAGTTTATTAATAATAATTTACGTAATATATATATAATTTGATATTTCGAAAAAACAGTATATTGATTTTATAATACCATTTACATTATATCGATATTATTAAGATGTAACTTATTAACTTATTGTATATTAATATATACAGTATATATGCCTATAAATACTAAAAATATATATATTGATCGCATTAATAATTAAGTTAAGATTCATGATATAAGATTTTTCTATACTTAAATTTGTGGAATTCCTAAATCATGAAGTTAGTATTTTAACAAAGTAATATGAAAACAAATTTAATGTACGCACGCACAATGTATATAGTATTTGTTTTATAGAGTACCACTAATTTTGATGTTCTGATATTTAGCTTTTGAGGGACATGCATTACTAGAAATGTGATGTATGCATGCAATCATGCATGCGCATGATGCGCAAATCATGCATTCTTGGCCGGGGCATGGCAAATGCCCATTACTAAATATACAGTATCATAACTTTATATTCATAATAACCGTTAGCTAGTATTTAGATTTGTTTTCATATTATTACATGACAGACCGTTCTACTTTGTTTAAAGTTTTAATAAAGTGACCAACTGAGCAAAGTAAAAAAAAATTATAAAATGCATGTCTACAGAACTAACTTTACCTCAAGTTCCCGCTTTAGCATTGAATACTCTAGTGAACATTCATTCTTACAGTCAAATACATAAAATGCAAAAATTAACAAGTTTCATTGAAAAAAATAATTCTGGTGACCTACCGGTCGTAATATATGAAGGTGATGAATTTCCGGTAAAGCCTGCATCTCCTTCAAGTGAATTCGATATCCTTAACGGAGGATCATTTTAAAATCTATGATTTTATTGTGATCTTATTCTTACGACCAACATATAAAATTATATGTAGTTACTCGAGTATTAATATTTGACAAGTATCTAATCTCATCATCAAAAAAAAAAAAAAAAATATTGAGAAAAAAATAAGTTATTTTAAGTTATTTTTTTATATGGAATAATTAACTTGGAGGTTTTCTGTTTCTTTAAGATTTCTTAAAGCAAAAAAAATAAAATAAAATAAAATAAGAATAAAATAAGATTTATGATTTTCTTTAAAGTTAAAGTTAAAAAGCAATACAAAATTTAATTTTTAGATTAGAATTATTAATCTTATAACAATCATGAATGATGTATTAAAAATATTGTAATTATATGCATTTTATTTGGAATGTAAAAAAAATAATTAGTACAGTAAATTTTTTAAATCGTTTAATATAAAAAAAACCTATAAAAAGAATCCATTGTTTTTTAATAAATATTGATTTAGTTAGATCATACAACTTAATAAATTAGCTCTCATAACCTGATCGGATTAAATTTTTTATAAATTAATTTTATAAAAAAAAATTTATGCTTTTTATACAGTATATAAGGCTTTTAAAAAATAAAGTTAAATTGTTGGATTATTAAAAATTTTATAATAAAAATCAAAAAATTATCTGTGTAATCCTATATTTTTTTTAGACTATTGCTAATTTGCCCCCCTGGTTACATCACCAGGGGGTGCTATATCTCAAAAACGTACTTAGTAAACTGGATCGGGTATTCTAAGTAAAAGGAGTTGTCTTGGTGCCACTCCAGGTGGTAAATCATTTTTGCCACCCCAATGATCATCCAATCAAATTGCTGAATTATTCTTCTATTGTTTACAATCTTTGATTGAAGATAACTTGACACTCATTTGACAAAATTTATTAAATTTTTTTTATTTGAATTCTACAGATATGTAGAATTCGAATAAAAAAAATTTCATCAAATTTGATCAAGTGGGTGCCAAGTTATCTTTGATTAAGGTTTTAAAGAATGTTTAAAACGCCTATTATATAGAAACTGCACCAAAAATTGTAATGCAACTTTGATCGAAGACAACTTGGCACCCACTTGCCCAAATTTGATAAAATTTTTTATTCGAATTTTACAGATCTGCAGAATTCGAATAAAAAAATTTTCATCGAATTTGGTCAAGTGGATGTCAAGTTATCTTCGATCAAAGTTTTAGAGGATCTTTAAAATGCCTACATAGAAACTGTGCCAAAAGTTTTAATGCAACTTTGATTGAAGATAACTTGCACCCACCTGATAAAATTCGATGGAAATTTTTATTTGAATTCTACAGATCTGTAGAATTCGAATAAAAAAATTTTCATCGAATTTAGTCAAGTGGGTGTCAAGTTATCTTCGATCAAAGTTTTAAAGAATTTTTAAAAACACCTATTACATAGAAACTGCACCGAAAATTGCAATGCAACTTTGGTCGAAGATAACTTGGCACCCACTTGATCAAATTCGATAATTTTTTTTTTATTCGAATTCTACAAATCTGTAGAATTCGAATAAAAAAATTTCCATAGAATTTAGTCAAGTGGGTGTCAAGGTATCTTCGATCAAAGTTATAAAGAATTTTTAAAAACGCCTATTACATAGAAACTGCGCCAAAAATTGCAATGCAACTTTGGTCGAAGATAACTTGACACCCACTTGATCAAATTCGATAAAAATTTTTTTATTCGAATTCTACAGAACAGTAGAATTCGAATAAAAAAGTTTTCATCAAATTTAGTCAAGTGGGTGTCAAGTTATCTTCGATCAAAGTTTTAAAGAATTTTTAAAAATGCCTATTACATAGAAACTACGCCAAAAATTTTAATAGCAACTTTGATCAAAGGTAACTTGGCACTCACTTGATCAAATTTGATAAAAATTTTTTTATTCAAATTCTACAGATCTGTATAATTTGAATAAAAAAAAATTTATCGAATTTGGTCAAGTGGGTATCAAGCTATCTTCGATCAAATTTTTAGAAAATGTTTAAAACGCCTATTATATAGGAACTGCACTGAAAATTGCAATGCAACTTTGATCGAAGATAACTTGGCACCCACTTGATCAAATTCGATAAATTTTTTTATCGAATTCTACAGATCTGTAGAATTCGAATAAAAAAAATTTCATCGAATTTGGTCAAGTGAGTGTCAAGTTATCCTCGATCAAAGTTTTAAAGAATTTTTAAAAACGCCTATTACATAGAAACTGCGTCAAAAATTTTAATGGCAGCTTTGATCGAAGTAACTTGGCACCCACTTGATCAAATTCGATGAAAATTTTTTTATTCGAATTCTACAGATCTGCAGAATTCGAATAAAAAATTTCATCGAATTTGGTCAAGTGGGTGTCAAGTTATCTTCGATCAAAGTTTTAAAGAATTTTTAAAAACGCCTATTACATAGAAACTGCGCCAAAAATTTTAATAGCAACTTTGATCGAAGGTAACTCACTTGATCAAATTCGATGAAATTTTTTTATTCGAATTCTACAGATCTGCAGAATTCGAATAAAAAAATTTTCATCGAATTTGATCAAGTGGGTGTCAAGTTATCTTCGATCAAAGTTTTAGAGAATTTTTAAAACGCCTACATAGAAACTGCGCCAAAAACTTTAATGCAACTTTGATTGAAAATAACTTGACACCCACTTGATCAAATTCGATGAAAATTTTTTTATTCGAATTCTACAGATCTGTAGAATTCAAATAAAAAAATTTTCATCGAATTTAGTCAAGTGGGTGTCAAGTTATCTTCGATCAAAGTTTTAAAGAGTTTTTAAAAACGCCTATTACATAAAAATTGTGTCAAAATTTTAAACATTTCATAGTAGTAAAGACAATAAAAAGAAAAATAAAGTTAGTAAAAAGGACAAAAAAAGACAAAGAAGTAAACCAAATAAATTTTTATCTTACCCAAAGTATTGCTTACCAGTAAAGTCTAAAAACCTAAAAAAAAAAATTAGCAAATGTAAACAAAAAACAAAAATTTGATTGGCCGATTTGACAATAGGGGAACAGGGGGAACCACACATCATTTGTAGATCTGTTACACAATTCATAAAAAACTTTTTTATATTGTTTTAAAGTACTTTTTCAAAAAGCTCACGTTACTTACCCCACTTTGAAACACGAAGTAGCGCTTTGTAAAACTTGAGGGCTTCATACAGTATTTTAATAATATCAGTTGAATCCCAGTGAATCCCACAGCTTTTATATGATGATTTACCTTGCAAAGGTATATATGTAACTAAGTATTTTGAGAAATTCTAAACTACAATTCCTAAACGTTGAGCAATAAAAACTAAAAAAAAAGTAAAAGCGATGATCTAGTAAAGGTAATGTGGGTTTGAAAGTTAATTTATAATATTTTTTTCTTATATGTTTATAAAAAAAAACCCTTAAAAGCTTAAAAAACTTAAGTAATAATATAAATTAACTATCTTTTTTTTTATTTTCATACTATTTTTAATACAGGATAAGTGTGAAAGACAATATAAAAAGTATCTAAGATAAGATTGTATAAAACTTTAAACTTTTATAAGAATAACCATTGTATGATTAGAGATTATATAAGATATCTGGGTTCAAGATTATATACATGAGTCTTTATAACTTATATACACAAAAGTCTTTATAGATAATGATATTAGAAGTTAGTCATTATTAGTTAATAAATAAACAAAACAATGATATGCTTACTCATTTAGCGAAAAAATATATTGCATATATTTTAAAGTTAAATTCATATACTGTAGCTTCAATTTTATCTTGATTTTGCATTATTTTTTGTATTTTTTTTTATTCTTTTAAAACTTGTAATTTGATAGGCTAAACAACATATGACAATACATAAACATTGTGTAATATTGGACAGTTCACCCTGTTCAATAGAGGTGGTAAAAAAATAATTTATCACCCGGGGTAGCACAGAGACTTTTTCTTTTTGAAATAAAAAATTTATTATTAATTTAAATTTTAATTTTTACAAATTGGTTATAAAAATTATTATTTTTTATAGAAATAATTTAAAGTTCACTAAAAGCAAATTTTTTTGTATATATTTTTTTTTGATTATTACAAAATTTTATAAAATTTTTTGTTTGTGATCTTAAATTAAGATTAAACTAAAATTAAATATTAAAGTTTTAAAATACTAATTATTTTTTAATTAAAAATAGCCTTTTAAAAATTAAAATTTTATTAATATTTAAGTTATTAAAAGTTTAATATTTGATATATTAATAATAGTTTTTAACTATTTTTAACTATGAGTAATATAACTACTTATATTAAATTTAGAGATAGAGAGCAGTTTTAAGGATTTTTTTTTATAATATAATATATATTAGATATAGGTTCTGATTTGGTTTTCACAAAATTTTTGGAGTCCTGATATAGTTACTGTCCAAATAGTTTTTACTATTGGCCCAAATTTAAACTATTTTGATTTAAATTTTGATCCAAATTCTACTTTTTGTTTCAAACTCATTTTTAATTTCAAACTGATTTCAAATTTGTTCTAAATCCCAATTTCATTCCAAATTCCAAATTTGTTTCAAATTCTAATTATATTCCAAATCCCAAATTTGTTTTAAATCCTAATTTCATTCCAAATACTAAATATATTCTAAAATTTAAACTAGTTATTAATTTCAAATTTGTATTAACTTTTAATGATTATTTGGTACAGAAAAAAGCAAAAAAGAAGAAAAGCCTTAACTCACTCTAAGATGACAAAAAAAGTAATAGAAGTTAAAAAAGAGCATAAATAAAGTCTACAAGCAATAAAACAGTAAACCAAATAGTCAAAACTAAGAAGCTGCACATATGTAAACATATAAAGTATACTTAATATTGTCGAACAAGAGGCAAAAAAATCCTGAAAAAAATATAGGTGTAGCATAGCACAGATATTAAACACACATAGCTAAAGGCATACTAAGATAGAGATCTATACTATTACAAATATA